GCTGGGCCGCGGGGCGGGCGCCGGGCTGCGGGGCGGGTGCTGGGCTGCAGGGCAGAATGCCCAGATACAATTCCAGCAGAAAAAGTGAAGGTGCAGAGGAGGGTGAGTCCGGGGTCAGTGTTTGGAGGCTTGTGCCACACAGATGGACCAGCTGGATGAGCCAGAAGTAAGGGTAGGGAAGGCTCAGGTGTGGGAGAGGAGCTGGCATGAGCAACAGCCAGAATGAGCTGGGGCCTTGGGCAGATGATGGATGGAGTAGGTCTAGGGAGCAGACTGGCGATGAGGCCACATCATAGCATTATCAAGGGTCCCGAGGGGTTCCCACTGCTTTGCACTGAGGCCATCTGACAGTGACAGAGGCTGGTGGTGAGGGATAGAATCAGGCAGGTGACCTTGAGATGGTGGTGATGGGGTCCAGCCATGGACAGCAGGGAGGTAGCCTGCATGAAGAAGCCCTTGGTTCTAGCCCCAGGACTGCATGAACCAGCCATAGTAGCAAATGTCTATAGGTCCAACACTCAGAAAGTGGAGGCAGGAGGGTCAGGAGGCCAAGATCATCCTCAGCTACATAGAGAATGGGAGGTCATCCTGGGCTACATGTGAACCTATCGGGGGGTGGAGTGGGGGGAGAGGCTGATTCAAGTTTTGCTGAAATTGAGTAGAAGAGTCTAGGACTCCTTCAAGCCAATGGGGCTCCTTATCTATGCCTCAGTTTCCCCATTCCCCCTATCCACAGCTTGAGAAGAGCCCTTCTGTTTGCCTGACGGAGGCAGCCATTTTTCTGGAAGCCTTTTATAGAAGGCTGAGCCAGAGTCAGCTGGGACTGGGTGCCCTCTAGTTCTCCAGTCCTTACCCCATCCCGGAGCAGCTGAGGTCCCTTGTCAGGGTCAGCTGGGACCAGGGACCAGGGACCACAGCTCTCTGGGTCTCCAGTCTCCACCCCATCCTGGAACAGCTGAGGACCCTCCCTAGGCCTGTGAGAGTAACAGAAGCCCTTGGGCATTTGAAGCAGCTTGATTCAGTGATGGGGGTGCACAGGGCTCTAAGGCAGGCCCAGCCGGCCCTGGCCAGGGTCCAGCCGTCTGTTACCAGCCTGTGAAGCTGCCCTGTGAGCAGCCCAATTAGTATTCACACCAGGTCCCCCAGTTCTGAGATCCCTTGTTCCCCCCAGACAGCAGCCAGGGTGGTTGAGACTCGGGGCGGGGGGGTTTCTCAATGGAAAGTTATCCCCCAACAAACAGTGAAGGCCTTACGCTGAGGTACCCAGGGGAGGGAGCTGCCAACTATAGTATGAAGGAAGGTCCTTGGGGCTCCCCAAGGCTAGATCAAATCTGAGGTGCAGGAGGGCACTGGGCATTAAGATTAGGCTCTGTCTAACCCATCCTCTCTCTATCTTGTCTCTGCCCAGGTCTGGCTCTCTATATCATCCCCCACTCCCTCCTCCATTTTATGTAGTCAGGGTGGGAGAGAGCCCACCTGTTGCTCCCTAAACAGAAAGAACCACACAGGAGGGTTCAAGGCATGGTCCTTATGCCCACCCCATGCCCAGTAACATCTGTCCATGTCAAGGTTCTCTTTGACTTAGGGCTGCCTGGAGATGTCCCTACAGCCCCCACATGGGGACACCAACAATACAAAATGGCAAACTCATCTCAAGGTGTCCAGAGCAGGCTGAAGAATGAGGGTTGTCCCATACGCCAGCGCCCTCACTCTTTTCAGGGCCATATCACACCCACTGCCAGGGTGGGGTGGGGGAGTACTGGCTTACAAGGCTGTGCCCTGAAATGGAGAGACTCTTCTTTTATCCATTTGTAGGTGGGAAGCGTCAACCCGAGGAGGCACAGAGTGCAGGAGAAGTGGGTGCTAGTGATGGAGGGAACTCCCAGAACAGTGGGTGGCCCTGAACAAGCTTGGATAGAGCCAAGACCCTGGCCATGTGCAGCCCGGCAGCTCCAGACCCCTGCAGCTTTGTCCAAACAGGCAGGCAGCATCCCGGGAGCCTCCAGTGTGGGAAAACTGTTGGAAATGGGTCCCGAGTGAAGCCAGTTCCCTCTGAATAGAAGGACTTCATGAAGCAGCACCTTGGCACTCAATGTATTGTAAGCGGGGCAGGATGAGGCATGGGACATTCCCTTTGGAGCACCCAGGAAGACTCATTCAGGAGACTACAGACTCTGGCCTGGGAGCCCATGTAACACCCAGAGATCCTTGGCTCTAGGTACCTGCAGGGCGGGGTCGCCAAACTGGCCACATCCCCCACATAGATAAAAGAGCTGGGGGAGGCTACAAGAATGGAGATTCAGTATGGATGTAGAGACCTCAGAGAGAGAGAGAGAGAGCACAGTACTGTCCTTAGATCCTGGAGAGGTGGCCCTGGGGACACAAACCTCATCTTATACTGTCTCACCCTGTAGAAGCTACGTGTCTCCCAAACACTCCTCTATCTACCCACAGGCCTATAATCAACAAGGAACATCTGGTCAACCTCCAGATTTTTTTTTTTTTTTTGCTTTGTTGTTTTTTGTTGGTTTTGTTTGTTTGGATGTTTTGTTTTGTTTTGTTTTTCCTGACTGCCCAGCCCACCTGACCTTACTCCCTTCAAGCCCCTGCACATCGAGATTATCGAGTATCCCTTATTCTCGCAAGAAAGCCCCCCATCTTGTCCCTGGAGCTTCCAAGCTTCCTAGGCACCTGGCTCGTGCCATCACGCCTTCACCAGCTCTGCTGTCTGCCCCCGCCGTTTGCCCTCTCCTTCCACATGCCGCCTCTGTGGGTCTCTTCTGGCATGCCCATTCTAGGAAGACTGGCTTCCTAAACTCAAGTGAGGACCGACCTTGTTCAGGCTCGCAGGCTGTCTCTCCCCTTTCCCAGACTCTCCCCATTGCCCCCAGACTCCAGGCCTTGGTCCAGGCTGTGCCTTCCACCCAGAGCATCGCCATTTCTCTGCTCCGCCTGGCTGACTCCCATCCAATATGTGAGCTTCGGGCCCAGCAGCTGCCTCCTCCCAGAAGCCCTCCAGTCATGCACGCCCACAGATGCATAATTACCTGGGCAGTGGCTGTCTTTGGCCAGGAGTCGCACATGGAGGGTGGGGACAGCAACCACAGGCCGCCTTCGTCTGGTCCCTCAGCATCTATTGACACCTAGCCTGTAGTACACACATCCCTGTCAGTCGTCCACTTCCCATCTCTGTGCACACCCAGCAGCCATCACACACAGAACACATGCACGTGGACACAGTTCCCTCTGTTGACATGCATGCACACATATGCACACACAAGAGCACACGCCCTCGGACCACCTCCAACACGCCTCGCACCAGCGCCCACGTGCCGACCCAAGCCCTCACTCACCGTGCACAGTCCACACACGGCCAGGCGAGCTCGTGTCACTTCAGCGGGTGCCGGGAGCTGGGTAGTGCGAGCGGCTGCTGGCCGCCTCTGCCTGCCAGCATTTGCCAAGCAGTTTCCATGGCGACACATCTTGGCTCTGACAGGAACTGATGTGTGTGGGGAAGAGGGTCCCACAGAGGGGGCGAGATGGGAGGTCTCTATGTCCTCCACTCCTGACACAAATAAGGGGGTGTTCCACGAGTGGAGACATTCTCAAATCAGGCTGGCACCTCAAGAAGGAGGTTCTGAGCCTGCCTGGCACAGGAGCAGACTTAGGTCATTCAGTCATTCAACAAACCTCCTGGCGTAACCACTCTGTGCTGATGGCTGGGGCTGCAATGTTGCCTAGAATGTAGGCTTACCAAGGACTTGAGGTCTGACACTAACTCAGTGTCCCCCCCAAACCCCTCAGAAGGCTCTGTCTGTCCCAAGGGTTTGATGCTCAGTTGACATCCCTCTGAGCATCAAACCCTCTGTCCCTCTTCTCTGAGACTAGAAACAGGGAGCGGATGCTGGGTACCCCTTGGAAAACCACTCACTCAGCATCTCCTCCCCTCCCTGAGCGACCACTTCCGGCACTGGGTTCCTCACCGGCTCCTCTCAGAAGTGGAGTCTTTTCCCATCCTTCAGGCTAGGCCTGTCTCCTGGCTCATTTCGGACAATAAAAGATGATGGATAAAGGGTTCAGTCAGTAAAGTGATTGCCACATAAGCCTGAAGACTCGAATTCAGACCCCCAGCGCTCACATAAAAAGCCAGATGCAGGAGTATGCCCCTATAATTCCCGAACCAGGGAAGCAGCGACAGGCACCTCCCTGGGGCTTGCAAGCCAGCCTAGTTTAATTATGACTCCGGCTTCAGTTGAGAGACCCTGTCTCAAAAGATAAGTGTGGGGGCTGGGGAGACGGCTCAGAGGCTGAGTGACACCGCTCTTCCAGGGGACCTGGAATTCCAGCTCCAGCACAGGTGGCATCCTCTCTCTCTCTCTCTCTCTCTCTCTCTCTCTCTCTCTCTCTCTCTCTCACACACACACACACACACACACACACACACACACACACACGCACACGCACACACACAGACTCTTACACACATATAGAGGAAAAATGACTTGTGTGACACTGTGCCAGGGCCCTGGAGGAACACCTACTCCTCTGCCTAGTCCCTCCATTCTCGCTAGCACAAGAGCAATCCATCTGCTGTCCCAGGGGCGGGGAGGGAACCCACAGGGCCTGGGTTATCCCAACTGAAGGCATCTTGGACCAGCTAGCCCCAGCCAACTCACCAGCTGGCGTGAGCTCAGCTAAGACGAGCTGTGCCTGACCCGGAGCAACAGTACTGCTCGGGTGTTCCATCAGAGCTTTAGAGCTAATAAAAAGCTGTGATGAAACGCCAGGCAGTGGTGGTGCACACCTTTAATCCCAGCACTCGGGAGTCAGAGGCAGGCGGATCTCTGTGAGTTCAAGGCCAGCCTGGTCTACAGAGTGAGTTCCAGGACAGCCAGAACTACACAGTGAGACCCTGTCTCAAACAAAAACAAAAAACAACAAAACACCCAAACTAAAACAAACAAACAAATAAAAAGCTGTGATGATTACTATCAGTTATCGGGTTGACAGGATCTAGAGTTATCTAGGGGATGCAACTCTGGGTTTGCCTGAGGGCATTTCTAGATTAGGTGGAACGACCCACCCTCAATGTGGGGAGGCACTGTCCCATGGGTTGGGAGCCCAGGCTGAATAAAAAAGAAAAAGTAGGCGAGCTGCTTCCTGAGTGTGGATGCCATGTGACCAGCCGCCTCAGGCTCCTGCACCACGCCTTCCCTGTGCAGACTGTACTCTCAAACTGTGAGCCAACATAAGCCTTCCCTTAAATTGCTTCTGTCAGGAATTTTTTCACAGCTGTGAGTCAAGCAACCAATGCATGACCCTTCAGGATTAGTTGTCACACGGCATTAGCTGAATGATACACACTAGAGGCCCAGCCAGTAGTCCCCCAGCCTCACACACTCAGTACATGCTGATCACTCCAAGAGCCTCTCAGGGATACTGAGACCCTGGCCTGATGAGGGTGCTGGGAACCAAACCTGGGTCCTCTGCAAGAGCAGCAAGTGCTCTTAACCACTGAGCCACCTCTCCAACCTAAGAGTAAATTGGCTTTTTATTTTAAGATTTATTTTTCTTTTATGCACATGAGGGTTTTGTCTATATGTATGTATGTGCACCGCATGTATGGCTGATGCCTGCAGAAGCCAGATGAGGGTGTCATATTCTATAGAGTTGGAGTTAAGGTAAGTTAAACCATTGTGTGGGTGCTGGGAGCTCTATTCGGGCCCTCTGCAGGAACAGCAAGTGCTCCTAGCCACCTAGCCATCTCTCCAACCCAGTAAAATTTCTAAAAGCAATAAAGACCTAAAAGAAGAGCATCCTGCACAGAAGGTGGAGTGACAGCCATACCCTGAACACAGCGCTGAAAGTCAGAAAGCAATGGTCGGTGATCTATTATGGTTTGTGTCTGAATGGTCCCCACAAGGCTCAGAAGGGACAGAGTTCTAAGGATACTGACCTGACTGGTGGACTAATTGCCGCACGGATTCATGATATGATAGAATTGCTACGAAGTGGGGCTGCTCAAAGGGAGAAAGTCATTGGATACCTTGTCCCCGCCCCTTCCCATCTGTGATGGTTTGAATGAGAATGGCTACCACAGGCTCATATATTTCAATGTCTGGTTCCCAGTTGGTGGAACTATTTAGGAAGGATTAGGAGGTGTGGCCTAGTAGGAGGAGGTGTGTCACTGGGAGTAGGCTTTGATGTTTCAAAAGCCCATGTCAGGCCCAGTCTCTCTCTCTCCCCCACCCCCTGGACCAGATGTAAGCTCTCAGCTACTATTCCTGCACCACCGCTGCCTGCCTGCTGCCACACTCATGGACTCTAACCCTCTGAGACTGTAAGCAAGCCCCCAGTTAAATGGGTTCTTGTATACATTGTCTTGGTCATGGTGTCTCTTCACTGCTATAGCACAGTAACTAAAGTACTGTATCTCTTTCTCCCCAGCCTCCACAAGGTAAGCAGCTGTGCCCCATTTTGCACTGTCCTCTACGATGCTCTGTCCCACCCATGAGGCCAAGAACCATAGACTGAAACCATTGAGCCAAAAGAAACCTTTCCTTCCTCATCTTCCCAGGGTTCTGTCACAGCATGGAACTACACATACTCAAAATAGACATATTCCACAGGGGCTGGAGAGATGGCTCAGGGCTTGACAGCACTGGCTGCTTTTTCAGTTCCCAGTACCTACTTGGTGACACAGAACTGTCTGTGACTCCAGTCTCAGGGCTGGAGAGTTGGCTCTGTGGTTAGGAGCATGAACTGTTCTTGCAGAGGACCTGAGTTGGGTTCCCAGCACCCATGCTGGGTGGCTCACAGCTGCTTGTAACTCCAGCTCCAAGAGATATGACCCCATGTGATGACCTCTGTGGGCATTGCACTTTGTGTGCACTTGTGCACACACACACACACACACACACACACACACACATACACACACACACACACACACACACACACATACACATACACAATTTTAAAAATAAAGATTGGCAGAGTGAGGTCAGTGGGAAGCCAAGAGCAAGGCGGGTGCAGAGAAGTGAATGCCACTGACTTTGGGGACATCAGTACCAGTAGATGATGCTATGTCGTGTTGTGGTTTGAATGTGGTCAAGCATGTCCCCCAAAAGCTCAGGTGCTGCAAACTTGGTCCTTGTGTGATTCTGGTGCAGCGGTGACAGAGACAGGAGGAGCTCACTGGCCAGCCAGTCTAGCTGAATTGGTGAAGTCCAGGTTCAGTGAGAGACCCTGTCTCAAAAAACAAGGTGGGGAAGCTAGATTGGTGGTTAGGGGCACTGGTCGCTCTTCCAGGGGCCCGAGGTTCATGCTCAACACCCACACCAGGCAGATTACAACCACCTATGGCTCCAGCTCCATGGAATCCAGTGCCCTCTTCTGGCTTCTGTGGGTACCCACCCAAAGGTGGAGGAAGAGGAGGAGGAGGGAGGAAGGGAGAGAGGAGAGAGAGAGAGAAAGAGAGAGAGAAAGAGAGAGAGTGCGCCCTGATGTCAACCTAGGATCTGACACACACATACACACACAGAGGAGAGAGGAGATAGTGCAAATCTAGCATTTTGATCCTGTACACACTCCTTCTGAATGAAGCTGTTCCCTCCTCTGTTGAGAGTCAGGTGATCCAAGGCTTTCTCAGAGCCCCACTGAAACAACAGAAGGAAGCTAGTTCTATGTCTTTGCCCAGGGGCAGACTCGGCAAGGTCCAGTCTGGGGCAGGGGCCTGGGCTTTGAAGGAGTTAAGTTTTGGTTGCTAGGAACGTGGCTTTCCCCTCGAAGAGACTGGAGTTATCAGTCCCAAGGCTTCCATGTGCTCGTCTCTGACACCCTGGAGATAACAATCAACATTACCTGATTAGCAGCCTGCTGACCTTGTCCTATTGTATAATGGCTTTCTGCTGACTCCATCCCATTTCCCCCACAAATAGTATATAAGATGCTGTACTTCTTAATAAACATGCCTGGCATAAGACATGACTTGTGCAAGACCTCCTGAGCCCACCTGATCTATCTTTGCCTCTGATCCCTGGCCCCTCCTCCTCAGGACCCTGTCACTGAAGAGTGACTTGTTGGTCCAGGTCACTTCTCTACCTCCACTCCACCTGAAACAGCTAAGGTACCCTCAAGCAGGCCTTGAGGCTCTGCTGTTTGGACCTTCCACCCACCAGAAATGCTACAGAAACCATTTGACTTTATACATTGTTTAGACTTGGCTGTTCTGCTATGGTAACGCAATAGAATGGAGATCCAGGGGCCATGGAGGTGGAGGACCAAGTCGGACCTGTAGTTGTATCCTGGTATCTCAGAGTGAGATTTGGTCTCAGGCCTCTCCAAGCCTGGTGTGCAGGCTGTTTTTATGTTAACTTGACATAAGCTAGAGTTATTTTGGAAGAGGGAACCTGAATCGAGAAAATGCCCCTGCCAGATTGGTTAGTGGGCAAGCCTGTGGTTCATTTTCTTGATTGGAGATTGGTGTGGGAGGGCCCAACTCACCATGGGC